TTTCAAGAGGTCTTCAAATGACCTTACGCCTCTGAAAGTGTCCTTCTTTCTCAATGTCCGGGCATCAAGCTCAAATTTCTAACTACAACATCAAATCAACATCATTACCAAACCCCAACAATTAATTTGAAAATTAAAAAAATGAAATATATATTTTTTTAAATAATGAAATATAGTAATATTTTTAAAAAATGAAATTTACACATGGCAATGTGTGCATTTCACTGTCTATGGAGAAATTAATTTTCTATTCACGTCGCACTTAAAGTGATATTTATATTTTTAATCAGATAATTAACAACTCATACATATATATGTCTCTGAAACTTCAGATATATATAGTTTAGGGATACTTATCTCTTTTTCCTTTTAATTCTATCATTATTCAGAATTCGAAAAAAAAGAGCTATGATGAAAAGATGACAACTTTGATAATTTCACCACCAAAGTGAAAAATATACATATTTAAAATTGTTATTTTCCACATACACCATATTATTTTGATTCTGACAAATGAAACACTACCAACTATATATAAAAGGAAGTAAATATATGTGGAAGAAGAAAAATCAGGGTGGGGTTTAATATATAATAAATAATTAGGGTCTGAATTGGATAAGTTAATTCAAATTGAATTATCCCAAGGACCAACATGACTTTGTTTAAAGCCCCATCTAATCAATAGTTAAATTTTAGGGGCATTTTGAGATAAAAATATAACGTTAAAGATATATTTAATTCAATAAGTAAAAACAAAATAATTTTTAGACAGATTTAATGGGTTAATGATATTTTGGCACTTTTTCATATTTTGTACATAAACATTTAAAGAGAGACACAAGAAAGTTGGATAGTAAAATGACTCAATATAGAAAGATGTCACCTCAAAGAAAACTACTCCTAACAATTATGACTTATGAAGAAAAAACTAACATTACTTTGAGCATTTTGGACACATGGATGGAACATTTTGGACACATGGAGTTCACTCGTTTCGAGTTGAAACTTCATTAATGACAAATATAAAATTACTAGATGGTTCAATATGGCACGGGTGTGGATGTACCAAACGAATGATTTAATTGAGTAATTCTATATAATATAGGATCATATTTAAAAATATTTCTTATGAAGAATTTAAATTATATATACTGATATTATGTTACTATATGTTTAATATATCTAGTATTAAGAGATGATTATTTTATTTCAAGTTATCACATCAGTCATGATACAAGGAGTTATATGTTGCTTTAGATTTTAATTGTAAAAACTTGTATCCCCAAATGTGAGTTCACTACTTTAAAAAATAGGGATTAGCGATGGAAAATTATGTAGCTAAACAACAATAAAAAATGCATCGTTAATCCTATTTAGAGACGGATTATCAAAAAGTTCTTTAAGGTACGAAGTTCATAGTTAGTTTTATTTTTTTAGTAGTACTCGTTAAACTCTAAATTCGTTTTATTTATTCTCACAAACTCTAATAATCAGAGCTTGTTAAATATTTGGCGTAGACCAAATGTGCTCAGTTTTGCAAATGTAAAAGATAAAATTGTTCAAAAATATATTCAAGGGACCATTTTGTCATTTTCTCACAAGTTTCAATTCTGGCTAATTTAGGCCTATAAATACAATCTGCCATGAAGGAAGGAAAACATCAATATTTACACATTAATTCTTCAATATATTTTACAAATTAATTAAGATGGCCTCATTTAAGCAAACTTTTCTCTTTATTGCTCTCTTTGTTGCAATTTTAGGTTCTAATCTTTTACCACTCTTCTCCCATTTAATTAGTCTATAGTTCTTCGATGTTTTATTTTCTTTTTTAGTCCGTTATAAACATTTAGACAATTGACGTGTGTGTATATATTATTACTCTAATCATTGTTATATGTTTGCAATATATGTGCAGTTAATCTCTCTTGGGCTCCAAATAAGATGCAAGTGATGGCATTTCGAGATTTGCCTATTGAATTTGCTGCAATGAAAGGAAAATTACTTCGACTTGGTGATATTTCTAATTGCGGGAGTCCTTGCAAGAGTCGTAGCGATTGCAAAGGTGTTATTTGTTCAAATTGTGTTTCACTTGGGGCTCTATTTTCTCAATGCATGTAATATAAGCGCACTATTACTGGTGAAATATCCTTGAGCGCGCAATGGATGAACTATTAATTGCTTAATATATGTCTTTATATTAATTCAAGCATTTTAAATAATGTTGTATTATTAAAGTTTGTGTAAGAAAATAAATATGTAACCTTATTAGTTTTCCATATATTGGGAAACTACCTACTCGAATAGGTTGGGACTTAAATACATGTATATGTTGGTCGTTTGTCTTTATCCTATGTGCAATTCATTATTTATTGAGACAATAATAAAAATTATAACATACTTTAGTTATTACTTTTTTGAAAAAAATAAATACATAATATAGCAAACATAACTATTATATATATGCATAATCTTGCAATATTTTCAACCAATTATATAACATAGCTACACTTAAAGATTTTGTAGCAAATATTTCCTCTCTCTTCCTCTCTTGCTCGCCACTCTCCTCCCTCTCTCCTTTCTCTCTCTCCCTCACTCTCTCTTGCTTTCGTTTCTCCTCTCAAGTTCTCTTATTGTCCTCTCTCCAATTTATTGCATGAATCTTTCTTCTTCTCCCTACATGTTTTTTATAAGGGAAAAGACTCAAATATGTTATCGAACTTTGAGAAAAGGTTCATCTATGTCATCTATTAAAAGTTTGGCTCATTTATGTTATTTTCGTTTGAGAAAAGGTTCATCCATGTCATTATTTGCTAACTGAAAATAATTTTGATTTTGCGATATCATTATTTATTATGATTCGGCCACGTCATTAATTAAAGAGAAAAGACTCAAATATGCAATCAAACTTTGAGAAAAGACTCATTTATGTCATCCGTTAAAAGTTTGACTCATATATATGTCATTTCCATTTGAGTAAAGACTCATCAATGCCACTCTTTGTTAACGGAAATGACATAGATGAGACAAAGTTTTAATGGATGATATAGATGAGTCTTTTCAACCAAAAAATATGGTAATTAATTTTCTAAAGTAAATAACTTGTACTATTAATATTAAAAACAACCAATATTATTACGAAAAACACCAAAATTACTTCTCAACTCAATTCTCCTACTACACAATGCATTATTCTACATTCTATGCATTTACATATGGCATAAAAATAAAATATATAGAGTCTTCAAACTCCTCCTTGATCGATGTCATTTGTGATTTTTCAAAAACTATGAAGAAGAAACACAAAATCATTCTTATAATCTAATGCTAAAAATCAGTGAATACCTTTAGAGGCGATATTTTAGGATTTTGTGGCGACTTTTGTCGCCGCTAAAGGTGGTTTGTAATTGAGGGTATTCATTGTCTCTTGGAATAACGACATCGACAATTTTTTTATCCCAAAAGGTAATGGAAGGTTTAAGTGATCTATTTTGCATAGTTCAGGGGCAATTTTGACCCTATTCCGTTCTGCTTTTCTCTTGAAGGAAAGAACAAAAGTATATAAAGAGCATGATTTATGACTAATAATTTTTGGAGTTAATCAACAAAATCCATCGCTTATTTTATTTAATGATGAATTAGCAATAATTTTTTGTTAACTACTAGCGATATAGACTATAGTGATGGATAAGCAACGGAGTTCTAGCTAATTCCAGCTTTTAGTAGTATTACCATAATTGATTTTACTTTTCTTAATGCGCCTGATAAACCCTTCAATAATTATATTTTAGGGATATTTTCAAATAAAAATATAATGTTAAAGAGATTTTTAATCTAATAAATAAATATAAGATATTTTTGGCCAAATTAATAGGTAAAATGTTTTTTTTTTCTTTTTTCTTTTTTACACTTTTCCATATTTTGTACATAAACATTCATTAAGAAAAAGAGACTCAAGAAAGTTGGATAGTAGAATGATCCAATATAGAAAGATGTCACTGTTAAAAGAAAACTATTCCCAACAATTTATGACTTATGAAGAAAAAAACTAACATTGCTTTGAGCATTAGTGGTGATACAATTACAAAAATGGTAAAATATGGATGGAACATTTTAGAATTTAGACATATGGAGTTCACTCGTTTCGTATTGAAACTCTGTTAATGACGAATAGAAAAAAGACTAGATTATTCAATATGACACGAATGTGGATAGACCAAAAGTGTAACGAATGACTAAATTGAGTAATTCAATATAATATATAGGGTCATATTTAAAAATATTTCTTATGAATAATATGAATTATATATTGATAATTATATTATCAGTTCAATTTGAACAAATATTAAGAGGTGATCATTTTATTTCAAGCATAATATAAAGCACACATTAGTTTAAATATTGAAATATTCATGAGATTCTTTCTTAAAAGAATTTAATGTTTGCAAGGGAGTGAGTTTGATTTTTGGTAGATTCAAGCTATTTATTATCCTAAGAAGAAAGAAGAAAGTGTAACACATTAAGAAAGAAGAAAGTGTAACACGTATCATCTATTCATTGGTCACTTTTTGTTTTTACTCAAAATTCATTATATGTAAGAATTATTCTGGACATAAATAATAAATGTCGTTATTGAATTTCTCACTTTACACGTTATTCGTGAGTGTAATACACATATTATATGTTTTGATTGTTAGTAAAAAAAGTGTTAATGACACAATGAACCATGAGATGAAGTGTTTAAAATGAACAATCCCTAGTAAAGATATTTAAATGAAAGTTGGTGTCAACTTTAGATAACCATCGATAAATTCTACCTTAAATATATGGTGTAGACCAAATGTACTCACTTTTGCAAATGTAAAGGACAAACCTATTAAAAAATATACTTTAGTGACCATTTTGTCATTTTCTTACAAGTCTCAATACTTGTTAATTTAGGCCTATAAATACAAGCCTTCCATAAAGGAAGCAAAACATCAATATTTTACAAAAAAATAATTAAGATGGCCTCATTTAAGCAAGCTTTTCTCTTCATTGCTCTTTTTGTTGCAATTTTGGGTTGAAACTTTTACCACTCTTCTCCCATTTTATTAGTATATATTTCTTAGATATTTAACCTCTTTTTAGTTTGTTATAAATATCTAAATCAATAGCATAGTCAAAATTTTCATTAAAAAGGTTCAAGTTATAAAGAAATAAACACATGAAAGAGTCAAACGGGGTTCAATATCTACTATATAGTATATATATATATAAAAAAAATATAATTCTTCATTATGTATAAATAGTGTAATTGTCTATCTAAAGAAAGTTCGACTGAACCCCTAAACCCTTACACGCTCAATTTCTGACTTAGTCAATTGATATCCTTATATAGGATATCACGTGTGTATATATTATTAGTCTAATCATTGTTGCATCTACAATGTGCAGTTAATCTCTCTTGGGCTCCGAATAAGATGCAAGTCATGGCATTACGAGACTTATCCGTTGATGTTGAAGAGATGAAAGGGAAATTACTTCGACTTGATGATATTACTACTTGTGGGAGACGTTGCAAGGTCCATGGTGATTGCAAAGAAGGTGTTATTTGTTCAACTTGTCTTATACTTGGGTCTACGATTTTTCATTGCGTATAACACAAGCGCACTATTACTGATGAAATATCCTTGGATCGCAAATTATTATTGCGAGCAATGAGTGAACTATTAATTGCTTGATATGTCTTCGTGTTTATTCAAGCATTTTAAATAATGTTGTGTGTTCAAAGTTTGTGTAAGAAAATAAATATGTAACCTTAATAGTTTTCCATATATTGGGAAACTACCTACTCTTATAGGTTACAACTTAAATATATGTATATGTTGGTCGCTTGTCTTTATCCTATATGAAATTCAATTTTAATGAGATAAAAGTGAAAATAATATACCTGATTCTTTATATTTTGTGAATTTCACATCTCAATTACTAATTTATTTATTTATAATCTAAACGCTATATATTACCATTAATATATTAAAACACACCTAATTGAGTATGGTGATATATAGTCCAAATAGAAAAATGGAACAACTGATATAAAGCTTGACTAGTTAATTAGTATTGATCATGTCAAGACACAAAAATTGAGTGTGATGACACCTGTCTTATTCCACCAAGATAGATTAGCCTAAAACCTAACCAAAAAAGTAAATGCGGAAATAAAACATAATAAAAGACTAGCATAACATTAACATTGCAGATAAATATAGCATAACTTGATATATCCCCCCCCCCCCCCCCCCCCACCCAGCCTGAAAAAGTCATTTGTATAATCCTCTAGTATTACAATAGATTTCAAAGGATATACAAGTATGAATGTTATTGTGTCTATAATAGAACAAGAACATAATGAAAAAGTAAGAGGTGTCTGCTGAGATGACAAGAGTAGCTACCTCACAAACCTCCAACAGTAAGCTTCAGAAGGAGATGAGAAGATGTGATCAAGACGATCCGAGCTTGTAACCTACACAAGTGTAGAAAGCAAGGGAGTAAGTATCAAACAACAACGGTACTCAACAAGCAACCCTAACTAACCTTAGGTAAGACAATACTGAACACAAGTACTTTAACACACCATTCGAACCACCACAAAACTACAACATGCATAGAATAAATCAACCCGATCAAACAGTTCCCACTCAATAACAACAAAGCACATATAGAACATCACAACTTGCACCTCAACACATATAGAAATATCATTACAGTTTTTCATAATTCAACAACCACAATAACATATCATCACTCATGAATAGCAAGAAACAATGATGAAGTGTAATGCAATGTAGTGCAATGTCATAGATGGTGATGCATGTCTGTCCTAATGATACACACACGATAAATCTCAATTCGGAACTCATGGGGTACTTATCAGTCTATGAATCTACCACACCGCGTGGAACATCCCCTTATTCTCAATAAAAATCAACCATGTCATGTGACACGTCCCTTTTTCCTCAATATTAATCAAGCACGACGTGTGGCATGTCCCCTTTTTCTCAATATTTTCACAAAGCTCATCACCACAATATTATAGCACCAATACAAATATATGTATGCAAATGCTCAATGAGAGAATAGTAACCTTCGCAACAACAACCCAATACATATAATTTTGGCACAACATAGAGTGAAACAACACAACCACTCAACCATTCATGGCACATCATATATCACAATACCTTCAAGATTCTTCTTTTACCCCACATTATCATCACAAGAACTTATTCATCATTTAACAATACACAAAATATATGAAATCCTTCACCAATTCTCATTATTCCCAATCACACAATGGCATACAAGGTTCAATACACTTGACGAAGGGTCAAGAGGTTCACTTGCCTTAAAAAGTAACAAAATCAACTCGACACTTGAGTCTTCCCTTCATGTCGAGCCACAAAATTCACACCAACTAATCAAATATAGAATACCCGTAATAAAATACGAATAACGACACTCACAATGTTGGTTTTAGAAATCAGATTCAAAATGACCCAAAAAGTCAATTCCGAAGGCTAAGGGTAAATCTAGAATTTTTATAAAAGACACGATACCCAAATATTTTGGAACTCACAAGTGAAATCTTAACGAAAAATAAGTAGAAATCATGCTCAAAACTCTAATTTACTCAAAACACAAGTTCATGAGAAAAACCTCAAATACTCGTGTCCAAAATTTTGAGTCAAATCTGAAATATTTCTTGAAAAATATATTACCCATGCTTAGGGAAGTTCAAATATAAAATTTCATCAAAAACTGAGTTTAGATCAACCTAGAAATCTTTAATTTATCAAATTTTAACTTTACGACTTAGACCATCATGGTCACCTACACTAAAACAACCTGGTGGGAGAACCAAAGGCTAACCCAAATTAATCCAATACCAATTAAAAGAAACCAATCTCATCATAAATAAGGCAAAATAGTTTAGTTGACTAGAGAATTAATCCCCCATAAACTTAACTTATAGCCACAACATCTAAATCAGGAAAATAAACCCCCAAGATCTAAATGTCATCATTACCAAAACTCTAAGTAGTCAAAATGGGATGCAACCCCAAAACTAATAATAGAAATAAATACTAAAGTTTATGTCTGAAAATATGAACAAGAAATACAGGAGAATCCATGACAGCTCGAAAATTATAGCTCACCTTTGGATTCAGATTAGGTGTCTCTAGACTGAAGTCTCGGATCAGCCGCTGAAATTTTTTTGCACTCAACAAGAAAGGAAATAAGTGCATATCTGTACACAAACCACTTTGGTCAGTTCAATATATGAATGTAAACAGTTTACCACAAATATTGACACAAGATAATGTATAATAAAACAATAACTATTAACCACATATAGACTCTCAGTCATATGTCATGAAACAAAAATATTTGTATCAACCAATGCATGTAATATTTCCTACACGGTTATAAATACAAATGCACGTTCCTTTTATGGAATCAAAATCTCATACCTGGTCTTTTCACGGAACCCAAACGAAATTGTTAATGTCATATTAGGTGTGGTATCCGAGTCAACTATATATAATCATACCAGGCATGATATCTTATCCAACCATATATCATGTACTAGCGTGCAACCCAAATCAATCAACAATCACAACTAGTCATGCACAATCACATAGCACAATGAACAAGATCACTAGAAAATCACAAGTCACAATCACAAGTTCATTGCATAAAATTAGCTACATGATGTCATTTTCTATATCTCCCTACCTGCATTGCACAAATGATACTACAAAGCAGTATATATGCATACATACATAAACCAGACGTATATAACCATCACCTACCTTGAATCAAGTCTCGTGGAAACTCTAAGTAACCTGAGCTTTCCCCTTGCAAAATGTCTCAGCTTGTTCTTGGTCTAAAATAAGCAATACAAACAACACTCAATCACTAATAGCCTATTAATTTACTTGAAGCATCAACAAATCCTAAACCTAACCAAAATATGATCATCTTTCCCAACATAGGGCTCTTTCCCCCGTGGGATCATGCAAAAACCTTCCCCAAATAGCAACAACCTAGTTTCTAAGTCTTAAGAAACTATTTACAAGATTGGAGAGTCGAATTATTATCTTTACTGATAAATTTTGTGAGGAAAATGATGCAAACAATCCAAAATTGCCCCTTTAGTATCAAGAACTCAGAGTACAGAAAATAGGAATTTTAGACTTTTTAATATAAAATCTTGATATTGTCCCTTTAGCACTCATAATCTCTCTATAGAAGCGTTGCTATAGTGATAACTTACCCCGATATAGCAGTTTGAGCGCCGCTATAGCGGGACATTATTCTCTATAGCGAGATCGATGAGGGATATGTAGCTCAACATCTAAAAAAGGCTTTTTTTACAACACAACTCCTTTCCTTGGCGTCCCGACACATACCTTTAACACCAAGTTTAATTTTGAGAGTTCTGCTTAGTTGAATTCAATTTCGGAAGACCTTATGGACTCCCTAATGTCTTGGTTACAAGTATATATTAGTCAAATCTCAAAAAAAGATCTATATCCCTTCTCGGATGACCCTAGACCTTACCTACCCTAGATTTCGTCTTAGGTTGGCCTAGCTAAGAATTTTTAAGTTATTATTGTAACACCTAAAACGTGTAAATGTTAGTTGGGAGCTGGAAAATTACAAAAAATTTGATGGTGTAGTGTTTCACGAGGGAATAGTACATACCGTGGATGGATGTTCGGCTTGTGGAGACGTCTCATAGTTGACACTTACATTGGGAGAATATTGGTTTAGATTTTACGAGTTGGTTTTTACGATCTGTGGTAAAGTATACGGGTCGTGGATAAAAGACCTGAAAGTTGGAAGATGTTAAGTCTCAGACTCAGTTGTACGAATCAAAAGTACGGCCCATGGTCAGAAATACAAGCTGTGGTTGGGCTCATGGTTGTGATCTTCAAAAGTTGGTAAATTTAATACTTTGATTCTATGAAAGCTAAGTACAGGTCGTACAATGGTCTATGGCTCGTGGATGGTGTGTTTGTGGTTAGTCTTCAGAAAGTTGGGTTGTAGAGATTAGGCCCTACAACCTAACAGTACGGTTCGTTTAAGGTTTTATGTCCCGTAAGTCAGGGTCGTGGTCCAAGAATCTGAGCCCTATAATTTTCATCCATCAAGTGGTCTATGAGTCGTAGATGGTAATTGTGGTTATTCTTCAGAAACTTGACTTCCACTAATGAGATCTATGGTTGAACAGTACTGTCCATAAAAATCTGTATGGACCGTAGATGTGCTCTCTTAGACAGTTTCATCAGCTTTTGAGTGGGGTTATTCTAGTCATTTCTCACCCCTTCTAAGTCTGAATTTCGATGATTTTACATCTAATTGAGATTTTTTTCCAGTTTAGTCAACCATAACACTCTCATAATAATTTTGAAGACTTAAAATAAGAATTCAAGAGGAGAAATTTATGGTTTCAAGCACTTTTTTCACTCTTGTTCAAGAACCTTGATCTTCTAGGTATGTAAGGCTATTGATAGTGATTGACTAAGTTCGTCCTCACGCCCTACATCTAAATTCATTCAGTATGAGTTAAATCTGTAACATCCGACAATTT